GAGCCGGTGGGGAACCACGTGGCAGCCCACGTGGATCCCAGGCAGCGGAACTCAGGCTAGGGAAGGGGTGGGCAATTGTGGCTCTTTTACAACCTGTGGCCTTCAACTCCCAGAATTCCTGAGAGAGCCAAGCTGTCTCAGGAATTCTGGAAGTTGAAGTCCACAGGTTGTAAAAGAGCCACAATTGCCCACCCCTGGCTACGGTAGGCTGGCGCCGCGCAGGTGGGAGGCGAGGGGCGGGCGAGCCAGCAATTTAACAAAGGGCTCGGCCGAACCCCCTAGAACCCCCAGAATCCCACCACTGTGTAGGCCCCTCTTGATCTTGAGGCCCTAGGCTGAAGCCTAGTTAGCCTATAGGAAAATCCAGCCCTGTTGACAGCTCTTATATACCTTATATACCGGCTATCAAGCAGCTAACCAATCATAGAACAGAATGTTACGTTTCTTTCCAGCAGGGGGGCAGCACACAGAGCAGGCTCAATACATTACACCCCTTTCCATGTGGATCACGGCTGAGGGTGTCGAGCCAATTAAGCCCTAAAAAGCTAGGCAATGGTCCATCCACAATCACTAATGACAGACAGCCCGAGAATTTTTTAAAGTTTATTCTGAAAGTATCACGACCCACGACGGGAATCTGGTTGCCTTGGTAATCCCTTAGGAGGAGATTACAGGAGTCTAATTGTTTTCTAGCCATTTTAGGAACAAGCCTCTTAATTGTGCTCCATGACACGATGGATGTGGCTGAGCCAGTGTCCACTTCCATGAGGCATGGCTTGCCCTCGATGTGGATCATGAGGTGAATCTTTTGTTTAATTGGTTGTTTGTCAGCTTGGCCCACCATGTGGACATCCGATGACCCCCGGAAACTGCGGAACCGATCAACTGGCGGCCTGGGAGGCCTTTGCCTATCCGTATTGTGCTGGGACTGGGCCATGGCTTGCGGTTGCACTGACCGGCACACTCTGGCAAGGTGGCCTCGGTGACCACAACAGCATCAGATAGCATCTTTAAATCTGCAGGAGGCTCTTTGGTGGTTCACCCCACAGCTTAGACAGTCTGTTTTGGGCCCCCTCGTATACCACGGGCCGGCTGACTTAGTTTTCGTCTCACTCAGACGATAGACTTCTTCCTCATCATCCGACTCGGAAAATTTTATCTCATTTACATTTATGGCTGGCTCCTTTGCCTTAGGCAGGCTACGACCCCGGGGTAGCTCCACCAATGACAACGTGGCTAATTCAGCTGCGCACACTTCATCCAACACCTTTTGAAATGTCAATTCATGGTTAGCAATTAACCTCTTGAGGTGTTGGTCTCTCACTCCACTCACAAGTCTGTCCAGGAAGTAGTCATTGAGATTTACAAACTCGCAGTGCCGTGCCGCTTTCCTCAGAGCTGTGACATATTGGTTAATAGACTCCCCTGGGGCCTGATCACAGTGGTAAAAATGCTGGCGGCGGGCTATTCTAGAGTGGGCTGGGGCATACTGCCTCCTCAGCTTATTCATGAACTCCTCCCAGGTTCCTGAGTGAATCGATTGCGGGGTCATTAATGTCATGGCTGTGTCAAACATCTCAGTCCCACAGAAACTCAGGAAATATGCCCTTCGACGCTCGCTAGACAGATTTGTATAATCATTGGCAATCAGGAAACAGTCAAATCTAGCTACGTAAGCATCCCACGACTCAGTTGTTGGTTTAAACGTAGGGAAATTATGTGAGGTTGCCATTCCTGCCAATTTCAGCCCCACTCGCCTGAGGTACTATCGCTGCGAAATGTAATCTTCGTTCCTTGTTTATTTATTACTTAATCTCTATTTTCACAGATAGACGATCCCATCCTTCGTCGCCAGTGGCGTGTACTGACCAGGTTGCCGGAATGATGATTCTGAGCTGAGCTTCGATCCCAGGTAAGGGTTTATTCATTTAACATGAACTAGCAGCACGCAAGCAATAACAACAACAGAACCTCGGCTTGACAGCTCTTATATACCGGCTGTCAAGCAGCTAACCAATCATAGAGCAGAACGCTATCTTTCTTCCTTCCTTCCTTCCTTCCTTCCTTCCTTCCTTCCTTCCTTCCTTCCTTCCTTCCTTCCTTCCTTCCTTCCTTCCTTCCTTTCTTTCTTTCTTTCTTTCTTTCTTTCTTTCTTTCTTTCTTTCTTTTATTTCTATACCGCCTTTCTCCCAAAGGACTCAGGGCGGTGTACAGCCTGATTAAAAGCACAAAGACAGACAGAATTTAAAATAAATTAAAATTATTAAATGATAGGCTCAATTTAAAACCCCAAATTTAAAATCCCATTTTTAAAACCCAATTAAAATCTTTACCTTGATAGCCCAGCCTGGCGGAATAACAAGGTTTTGAGGGCACAGCAAAATACACGGAGATCAGAGATTTTACGAATTTCTGGGGCCAACTCGTTCCAAAGGGCAGGGGCTCCCACAGAGAAGGCCTCCCCCTGGGTGTCGCCAGCTGACATAATTTGGCCGATGGCACCCTGAGGAGACCCTCTCTGTGGGAGCGGACTAGCTGGTGGGAGGCTACTGGTGGCAGAAGACGGTCTCGAAGGTATCCAGGTCCAATGCCATGGACCAGCAGAGGGCTGGCACATGGAGCAGGCTCAATACATTACAGTATCTGTTTGAATTCTAGAGCAGAGGTGTCAAACATGCAGCCCACTGGCCACATATGGCAGTGGTGGTTTCAAATTTTTTTACTACCGGTTCTGTGGATGTGGCTTGGTGGGCATGGCTTGGTGGATGTGGCAGGGAAAAGATACTGTAAAATCTCTATTCCCTCCCCACTCCAGGGGAAGGATACTGCAAAATCCTCATTTCCTCCTGATCAACTGGGACTTGGGAGGCAGAGAATAGATGGGGCGGGGCCAGTCAGAATTTTTACTACCGGTTCTCCAGAACTGGTCAGAACCGGTTGAAACCGACCTCTGGCATACCGTCTGCACAGGCCATGCCCACCCCGGCTCTTCAAGTACAAAAACAATCCTGAGATGTCACAATATGAACTGACATGTGATCAGTTTTGACACCCCTGTTCTAGAGCAATTTAGCTTTTTCTATTTTGTGGTCCCACCAGTTCTTGCCTGCAAGCAAATAGTATTTCTTGCAGATCTTCAAATTCACCCTTGTTACTATTTTGTCATGCCATTTCTTGTAATCAGTTTGTGCCATCTTTCTGCAGCAAACTAGGTGATCCACTGTTTCTATAGCTTCTTTGCAGAGGCAGCATTTGCTGGCTGTTGGTGTCTTCTTAATTCCTGCTTTCTATGCATTGTGGACTCAGATTGTTGGGGGCAATATGCTGACTCTGTAAACTGCTTAGAGAGGTTATAAAGGTTTTTGATGGCAAACCTTTTCGGCATCAAGTGCCCAAACCGGAAGGCGTGTGCATGTGCACGCACTGGAGTGCTGGAAACCCAAAGACCTGCTAGCCAGTGTGCATGCCCACAGAAAGGGCTCTGCGTGCCGGAGGTTCGCCATCCCAGACCTAGGTGTTAATTGCCTTGATGGTATTTCTCCTACTGAGTTGAGACTTTAAAATTGTCTTCACTCTCATGATATATTCACTTCTAACCTTTTTCTTGACATTAAAGTGCTTGATGCTGTCAGCTTGAAGGATGCCCAGGTATTTGTAGTGATCGTTTTCATCCAGACTCTTGATGGCATTTGCATAGAGCATCTTGACTCCTTCAGTTTTCACTATTTTTCCCCCATTGATGGTGAGGCTGGCACATATATATATATATATATATATATATATATATATATATATATATATATATATATATATATATATATATATATATATATATATATATATATATATGTTTTCTCAGGTTTTCGCGGGTGTTTGTATGTAGGTCTTTGGTTATTCGGGTCTTCTCCCACGTAAAATTGGAAGTGTCTTGGCGACGTTTCGACGAAGTCTCATTCGTCATCATATATATATATATATATATATATATATATATATATATATATATATAATATACAGTCTTGAGAAGCAATTCTATTTCAGATGGTGTTTTTCCATGCAGCTTCAGTTCATCTATGTAAAGTAGATAGGATAGCCAAGCAGATGTTTTTGATGTTTGATAGCCATGACTTGATTTATTCAGTACTGTTGACAATGACAAGCAGTAGTGGTGACAGTGAATCTCCTTGAATTCTCTTTTGATATTAACATCTCCCAGGCTACCATCACTGACCAGCAACTATGTCTTCTATTGTGCATCTTAACACAAAACCTTTAATGTTTATACTGACTCCTGTTATTTCTAGGCACCTGATTTTTCTTGTCCTTTTCTGTTTTCATTACCAATTCTTTCATTTCAGCTTATGTTGTATTCTAATCCACATTCTTTATCCAGGCTGCATTCTTCTATTTCTTTATGAAAAAAAAAAGCATCTTTCATACTATTTTCTCTTATGATCTACCATTTGTTGTTTATATCTTATGATTTATGATCTATGACATCACTTTGTCATTTGTATGTACAACGAGAGCTTACGCACTGGATACAAATTCCTTGTATGTTCAATCACACTTGACCGATAAAGAATTCTATTCTATTCCATTCCATGTTGTCCCATAGCTGCACCCAGAACTACACTGTTTCTTTATCAGGTATTGATGGGTTCACTGCAGTCATTCCATTGATGGGTTGTACAAACGTTTCTGATTTGATTGAAATTGGAGATTCTGCCGATAGTGTGCAATTTGAGCTTCATATTTGCTGATCTCCTTGGCTATAGCCGTTATTTGATACTTTATTATTTCCAGTGCTTCTTTAACCTTCCTTGTTCTGTTCAATATTCTATTTAACTAGTGAAAACCTTTTTGCCCAAACAATATCTGAAGAATTTAGAAGCTTGTCATGGAGAAGTTATTGACAACTTTTTCAAATAGTTGTTTAAATAATTCAAAAATTTCTGAATCTGAACACAAAGAATCATAAATAAGTAACAGAAGATTACCTGTGAACATCAATGGTCTGTATCAAACGACAAACTATCCATGCCCATAGCAAAATTAGGTGATTACAGAAGACAATTATTCCAATGAAGAATGCAGCTACAAAGATTACAGTATCTAAAGGATGTGCATATTCAGTTTGCATCCCAAATGGTGCCTGAAGAAAAGTATAAAGAAAAGGGTTGTGCACCTGTGTCCATACTGAAGAAAAAAATTCATATATATGCTTCAATATGACTATTTCAGGAGATTATTTTCCTTCATGTGCTAACTTTGAACTCACATAGTTTTAGGAAATGTAAGAGTGAATAAGTAGAATACATTTCTAAATGTAATAATATTTGCTACTGCTAACTCCGGACACCTCCTTAAAACAGTAGGTGCTGTATAACTGTGAATACTGTTAATGATTTAAAGACACACAGATAAGACTATAGATCAGTAAACTTGTGTATTAAGTGAAGTTTTCCTCAACATTTTAAAAAAATCATGCTAAAGAGGTTGCTTGAAACTAATTTTCATATTATTTTAGAAACAGAAATTAGTTATTAAAATAAAACTGACAAATATACAAATGGTTTGCAAAAAATATTGTTGGTTTACTGCAATGTTTAAAACTCTTCACCTCTTGTAAGCCTTTCTGGCCTCATACGATAGGAAGAACTTTAAGTAAAGAAATCATATAGACAAATAATAAACCCCAAGTTTCGTCTCCCTATTTCTAAAAATAATAACTAACACATGTCAATTGCATGAAATTTTAAGGTTGCAATCATATACCGAAACAAGTTCCGGTGAGTTGCATGGAGTATTATTATTGGTAAGCGCATATACAATTTAACCATGTAAACCAAAAACTTAAGAAATTACATACATGAAATTCATGATGTACTTTGTGGATGTATTTATAAATTCTCTTATGATGAAGTAGTCGATGCAAGAAATAATGCCAGGTATCTTCAATCACAGCACATCCAAAACACTGAGCAAGTATCACAAACCTTTAAAAGAAAGATTAGCTTTTGAGATATATATTTGTGCAATCTATCCAATGAACAATGCTAGAAACCTGACATAACATATACAGAAATTTTAATAAAATATTTTTCCTTCTTGGAGCAACAAGCACAGCAAAATAAATTGTTTTTTGAGAAAGACAGGAAACAGTAGTTACACATGATGTAATGTATATTATATTTAAAATAAAATAGCACTTAGGCTTCGAATTTCATCTTTAATAAAAATATCCAGGTATTATCTATTATATTTGTATTTGTTTTGTAGAATGAATAAGTGATAAAATTTGAAGAATGTATAGAGATTAACAGACAATTAGGAATAGCAGACACTGCCTCCCACTAGCACCCCTAGGGGTGTGTGTGTGTGTGTGTGTGTGTGTGTGTGTGTGTGTGTGTGTGTATGTATTCCAGCATAACTCTGGAATGCCTCGAGTAATTTCAACCAAACTTGGTCCCAGATGGCTTACCCTCTGGAAATAAATACTGGGGGGGGAGGGGGGCTGCACTCCTGGTGTATGTGTGTGTTCGTGTTCCAGCATAATTCTGGAACGCCTGGGCCGTTAAGGAAACTGAGTGCGGTGTCCTAGTGTGGCAATTGTTTGTGATGTCAGTTCCTTTGAAGCTTCCTCTAGAAAGCCAACCGTGACATTCACCCTCCAGTGGACCAATGGGGAAGTGCATGATGGATTTGGGGCAAAGTGCCAGGATCATAGATAGGGCGGGAAAGAGGAGCCCATGGGAGGAGGAAAGGAGAAGGCAGGGATGATGGGCATGGAAGTAGGGGGAAGAAAGGCACTTCTCTCATGTAATGTAAGAACCAGGCTTTTGTTTGTTTTACCACACATCTGTTGCATTTATTCCCAGTCATAATGAAAACTTTTGGGAAGCTGACTGAAAGCAAAATTCTTTATTTAGATGGATGGTGAACTTAGATTTAGCACAGAAGATATTGCTCATTTGATTTTAAGGCTTATATTTTTTTTAAAAAAGGAATTAACAACAACTCTTTATTCATGTTTATATTGTGCTTACTTGTAGAAGCTTTCAGTTTTAAAAAGCATAATGTCCATCTGTATTAACAATTGTGTTGACAGTCTGTGCTTATTTTCAATTGCCTTAAAATCATTTTCAATCCCTCAGACGCCTCTGACAAACTTCCTTCCCTCCTTCCCCCCATCTGCCCCTTTCATCTAGGACACAGCATTCTCTAGTTTTTAATAAATTTGAAATTACTGAACCAAAGATTCAAAAACATTTTTGGTCAAACTTCTAGAAATTTCTCCCAAATCAGCATATCAGTATTTTTAATGTGTGGAAATATGTATTTTTAACAAACAAATAATAACAAATAATTAAATATTACTTACCATCTTGGCATCCTTTCCCAGTCATAAGGAATATTATAATATTCTGTAAAATAATAGGTACCACATATGAGAGGCAGCTGAATAAAAAACTGATTGAACATAATTTTTTTAAAACATTTCCATTGTCCTGTCCATGTTTCTGGTTTATCCTATAACAGCAGCAAATAAATAAAAATAATTAAATAGTGCATATAACAAACAGATTACATTTTTCCTACAGGCTCTCTTCCCAACTACAATAATGCTAACATAAAACATATCACAACATATTCTGGACTTTTGTACTTCTGTTGCAATATCTCCTACAGTACATGTAAAGGTTTGAGGTTTTACAATTTTGTCCTTGCCCTCTACCCCATATGCCCGTTTATTCCAATTACTGAGATAGGAAAATTACTGCCCATTCATACTGATTCTCTTAATTAAGAATACAATCTTAGGCAAGTTTACTTACAAACATAAGCGTCATTATATTCAGTGGTATTTTCTCCACGTCCTGAGGACGTGGACAGGATTCTGGGAAGGCTTAGTGCTGCCACATGTTTATCGGACCCGTGTCCCTCCTGGTTGGTACTGGCCTCCCGAGAGGTTACACGAGGCTGGCTCCAGGGGATTATAAATGCTTCTCTGAGTGAGGCGACCTTTCCTGCCGCCTTGAAGGAGGCGGTGGTGAGGCCCCTCCTCAAGAAGTCTTCCCTGGACCTGGCTGTATTAGCAAATTATCGTCCGGTCTCCAACCTTCGCTTTGTGGCAAAGGTTGTTGAGAGTGTGGTGGCACAACAGCTCCCCCAGTACCTGGATGAAGCTGTCTATCTGGACCCTTACCAGTCGGGCTTCAGACAGGGGTACAGCACGGAAATGGCATTGGTCGCATTGGTGGATGATCTCTGGAAGGCTTGGGACAGAGGTTGCTCCTCTGTTCTGGTCCTATTAGATCTCTCAGCGGCTTTTAATACCATCGACCATGGTATCATGCTGCAGTGGTTGAGGGGGTTAGGAATAGGAGGCACCGTGTTGTGGTGGCTCTCCTCCTTCCTCTCCGACTGCTCTCAGTTTGTGTTGGCAGGGGGGCAGAGGTCGACCTCCAGGTGCCTTGCTTGGGGGGTGCCGCAAGGGTCAGTCCTCTCGCCCCTTCTGTTCAACATTTATGTGAAGCCGCTGGGCGAGATCATCCATGGTTTTGGGGTGAGGGTACATCAGTATGCTGATGATACTCAGCTGACCATCTCCACCCCAGGCCACCCCAATGATGCCCTTGACGTGATGTCCCGCTTCCTGGAAGCTGTACGGGTCTGGATGGGGAGAAATAGGCTCAGATTCAACCCTTCCAAGACCGAGTGGCTGTGGCTACCCACGTCCCGATATAGTCAGCTGATGCCATTGCTGTCTATAGGGGGTGAATCTCTACCCCCCACAGAGAGGGCTCGCAATCTGGGCATCCTCCTGGATGCACGGCTGTCTTTAGAAGAGCATATGACGGCCATGGCCATGGGGGCTTTTTATCAGGTTCGCCTGATTCACCAGTTATGTCCCTTTCTGGACCGGGATGCCTTGCGCACAGTCACTCACGCCCTTGTTACCTCCTGGCTGGACTACTGTAATGCTCTCTACATGGGGCTCCCCTTGAAGAGCACTCTGAGGCTCCAACTGGTCCAGAATGTGGCCGGGCGGGTAATTATGTGTGCAACCCGTTGAGCCCATGTAACACTTTTCCTGCACGAGCTGCACTGGCTCCCAGTGGTCTTCCGGGTGCGATTCAAGGTGTTAGTTACCACCTTTAAAGCGCTCCATGGCTCAGGACCTGGGTACCTATGAGACCGCCTTCTGCCGCCGATAGCCTCCCACCGTCCAGTTCGCTCCCACAGAGAGGGACTCCTCAGGGTGCAGTCGGCCAAATTATGTTGGCTGGCAACACCCAGGGGGACAGCCTTCTCTGTGGGAGCCCCTGCCCTTTGGAATGAACTGCCCCTGGACATAAGCAAGATCTCTGACCTCTGAGTTTTCCGCTGTGCTCTTAAGACCCTGCTCTTCCAACAGGCAGGGCTAGCTTCATAAATTGAGTTTTAAATTTGGAATTCTTAAATTTTTGGGTTTTTTAGCTAATTGGCCTTAAATGTAATACTTTTAATAATTTTTTTAAATTTAAATTGTGATATGTGTATTGTGTTTTTACCTGGTTATACACTGCCCCGAGTACTTCGGGAGAGGGGCGGTATAGAAATAAAATTATCATATCCTATGCTATAAGTATGGATAGGACTGCAGCAAAGTAAGCTGCTTAACTTGAATTCAAATATTACACTGCAAAATCTGCATTCTTGAAATGAGGTGATTTGAATATGAACTATCTGATTTTTTAAGAATTAGAGAACTGTTATCTGATTATTTTTAATTTTGATTTTATTTGTCCTGCACTGAGATTAATAATTTCAGGCGAGATTTCTTCTGATGCACTTCAGTCAATACAAATATTAGTGAGGATTCAATAAATAATTCACACATTATATAAGTTATAAATCAACTACTTTAAGTTATAAATCTAGTTAAAGCTCTGCTTTAAATAAAGTTTTCTGTAGGCAAGAACTATGTATATGGCTGCCAGTTAAAGGACGGCCCGTAATTTCATGATATTTCATGAATTTCATAAAGACTTTAGTCTTCTCCCATCAAATAATTTGAAGACACATTAATAAACAGGTTTTTCAAGTGATTAGCTCCAAACCTGACAGAAAAGCTCTTTGTTCTCATGATTTTTTTTAAGTTATATTTTCACAATTTGTTGAGTATAATTACTGAAGCTTAGCATTTATTGCATCTCAGCATATCTTTGAATAGATCTTTGTAGTTAAGAGTAGCCAAATAATACCCCAGTAGGTAAATTTAATTTATTGTAATCATCAGAGTTTCAAGTCCTTTTTATTCATTTCTTTCAATACTATCAGACAGAACTGAAATTTGATACCAATTTTTTGCAAAAGAGCCAATAGACACAAATTTCACATTAGGACACCTCACAATAAAGACAAAGATTTATCAGATCATTTTAACCTCCCAGGACACTCAACAACCAAAAAGGCTTTTAACACACTATAAATGTAATTTATAGTATATACAATTTAAATTGTAATTTATTTTATATTATTTATTTATTTATTTTGTCTCATTTCTATGCCGCTCAACTCCCAAGGGTAACTCCCCATCTTTCCTCTCCCTTCACTCTCTCTCATTCCACTTCAAATCCTAAATGTACTCACTCTGGGCATTTAAAGAAATGAACTTCAATGACATTTGAAATTTAATGACACAAAAACAGCTATCAGAAAATTTCTGATATTTCATTAACAAAGTTAGTGTGTTAACAAAGGTTAACCCAGCTCTTGCCCTCAATGTTTACAATGAGAGCACATAGTTCAGTCAAGTGGAATTGAAATCTTATCAAGAAACTGGCACTGTCCAATCTCTTCTTAAAAACTTCCAGTGTTGGAGCATTTACAACTTCTGGAGGCAAGTTGTTTCACTGGTTAATTGTTCTCACTGTTAGGAAATTTCTCCTTAGTTCTAGATGGCTTCTCTCCTTGCTTAGTTTCCACCTATTGCTTCTTGTCCTGTGTTCAGGTGCTTTGAAGAATAGCTTAACTCCCTCTTCTTCATGGCAACCCCTAAAATCTTGGAAGACTGCTATCATGTCACCCCTGGTCCTTCTTTTCATTAAACTCAAGAAAGCCAATTCCAGCAACTCTTTATGTTTTAGCCTCCAGTCCCTTAATCATCTTTGTTCCTCTTCTCTGCATTCTTTCTAAAGTCTCAACACCTTTTTTTACATTGTGCTGACCAAAGCTGGATGCAGTATTCCAAATGTGATCTTACCAAGGCATTATAAAGTGGTATTAACACTTAACATGAACTTGATTCTATTGCTGTTAATGGAGCCTAGGATTGCTTTGGCTTTTTAACAGCTGTAGCACACTGCTCACTCATATTTAAGTGATTGTCCACTAGGACTCCAAGATCTCTTTCAAAGGAATGAAAGAGACTCAGTGACTTTGACTCAGTGAACGGACTACAGTCTCATCAGCATTTTGTTTTACAAACAAGTTAATTACTAATGTCATCTCTATCCTGGAACTTCAATTACACCAGAACTTTGCCACAAGAAGACATGCCTACACTATACAATACTTTCCTCTTCAGGAAATGTATAGATTCCCATGAATGCCTAGATGCTTCCAGCTCAACTCCAACTCTATCATGTATAGTCAGGCTCTACACAAAACTACATTTGTTCTGATCCACTTAACAGAAATGCTTAACTGGTGGAATTAAACCAAGCATTCAGGAGATGAAACTATCCATAGAACAATGGATAGTTTAGAAGAAAGCAATAGGGCCAGATCAATTCCTGGGGAGCAGCTAGTAAAAGATAGGCATAAGAAACAGAACAACATAACACTACCTAGTCACTTACAGCTCACAGTTCAAACTACTGAAACACATTATTAATAAGCTACAGCTAGACAAAGACACTGCATTATCTCAGGCAATTGCGTGGCAGGCCCATACTTGCATATAGCCACCCAATCTAAACAAATTCTCCAATCAATAGTATCAATAAGAAAAAATGCTAATATGGAACCGAATCCTACAATAAACTCATGTCTATTTTGCTCCATCATCATCACAAGCCACACACACAATTAGAGGTGCCTTCACATGGTCTTTCTCTAATGTGATTCATACCACCATCTACCAGGAATGTCCCTTTGGATTTTCCCATAGGACAAATGGGACAAACTTTGCACAAAAGAATCAATGAACACATTTGACACCAGAACTAAAAACAAGAAAAAAAAATGATTTCAACTTTTTGGATATTTTATGGCATATCTCAAAGTGCCAGTTTTGGAAAAACAGGACCACCACTGAATGAAAGGTTGCTGAACTTGCATGTTATTTATTTATTTATTTATTTATTTTTTAATACAATTTTTATTGATTTTTTTTTTTACACAAATAAAATATAATAACAATTCTGTTTAACATCGGATTCGCAGTGTTTATACATATATACATGAATAAGTGTCTGGTGTCATTTATACTATACATTTCTAATTGATTTCTGCACCTTTTATTTCTTCCTTAATTCTATCATCTATCCATTTGTACCATCTTCCCCACACAGTATCATAGTCAGAATTTTCATCATCATTTATCTCGTGAGTTAATTTACTTATCTCTGCACACTCTAATATTTTGTTAATTATAAGGTCATCTGGTGGTAGGTCTTTCTTTTTCCAGTATTGAGCGTATGCTAGTCTGGCAGCTGTAGTTATATGTATTAGGAGGTGGACCTTTTCCTTTCCGTACCCTTTCTTTACCATTCCCAGGATAAATATTTCTGGGTTCAGATCAATGTCTTCTTTAAGTATGTCTTTCAACCATCTCCAAATTTTACTCCAGTACTTTTTTGCTTCGGGGCATGTCCACCATGTATGAAAGAAGGTGCCATGACCATGGCCACATTTCCAACAATTTGGCTGCGCATTGGGGAACATCTTTGCTAGTCTTGCAGGTGCCAAATGCCACCTATGAAGCATTTTGTAGTGATTTTCCTTATATGTGGCTGCTCTGGTTAATTTATAATTTTTATTCCAGGCTTCTTCCCATTCATTAAAGTTCAAACTGTGTCCAATATTTCTCTCCCATGCTCTCAATTGATTTCTGATTATATCCTCATCTCTGTCTTCCTCTAATAAATAGTTATACAGCTTGGCCAACGCTTATTTATTTATTTTTATCCCCCCTTTTTACAAGTGGCTCAAGACAGAAAACATACCTAAAATTCCTTCCTCCTATTCTCTCCACAACCCTGGGAGATGGTTGGGTTGAGAGAGAATGACAGTCCCAAAGTCACTCAGATGGATGGATGGACAGACATATCTCCCAAAAGTTTTAGCAATCTCAGAACATCTCAACAAACATAATGTTTTTAACATAGTACAAATTCTAACTGATATAATAGTAATCTATCTTACACTGCATTTCCCTAACCAATGGTCTTGCCCTCCTTACACCCATCGCACCCCAATTTAAATCCTACATTAGTATGATAAAGTGAGTTGCATATCGTAAACATTTATACATTTTAATAGCAAAAGAAAGCTAAATAAAGTGCTACCAAACTCCTGCTAATGTTTTAGCACTATAGATTAACATTGTGCTCTCTTCCCTTTAAAAATTCCATCTTACCTGCTGTATTTTATATTTTTGCATATAAGGTATAAACTGAAATACAAATCCAGGTAAGCATATTAAAAAATAGGAAAGTTCATGAGCAAGAAGTGAACCCCAAGTTGCAATCTGGAATTTAGTGTAGTTGTCCAGCATAGAGGTCCAAGCATTTTTAAGTGGTTGTTGTAGTGGATTCTCAGGCAGCAAAGAGTCAATGTATTCTATAGCAAGGTAGGCGGAATGCAGTATCTCAAAACTATTGTTATTCGCCATCGTTCAGTTCTGGCACATCACACTGACAGTTTCTTAACAAAGTTTCTATGAATCTGTAAAATGTCAAATTGAGAGAACTCGATAAATGGTAAGACTTAAACAGCAGTGCAATATTAATATCTTTATTCTATATTACAGCACACACTACACAAGCAGGTTTGTGATTGCTAGAACTTAAATTTGCAGTTACATTTTGAGAGTATTTCATCTAGAGTCCATGTAAAAATTCCACAAAAAATGAGATTCATAATTGTCCCCATTCTGAGCATATGGATATGATTTACATTTTGACTATGGTCTCATATCAGGTGCCTGTAAAAACACACATGTAGTTTCAGTTTCAGTTTATTTAAATTCATATACCGTCCTACTCCTGAAGGACTCAGGGTGGTGAACAGCCCTAAATAAAACAAATATAAAATTTAAAAACAAGTTAAAAGATATATTAAATAGATTTGGCCCACTAATTAAAACACCCCTATTTTTAAGAACAGATCCGAATTAAAATTAAACAATTAAAAAGGGTTAGGCCAGCTCTGCTTGATGGAATAAAAAGGTCTTAAAGGCGCGGCAGAAAGTGCACAGATCCGGGATCCTCCGTATCTCTGGGGGGAGCTCGTTCCAAAGGTCAGATGCCCCCACAGAGAAGGCTCTCCCCCTGGGGGCCGCCAGTCGACAATGTTTGGCCGACGGCACCCTGAGAAGCCCCTCTCTGTGGGAGCATACTGGTCGGTGAGAGGCTATCGATGGCAGAAGGCGGTCTTGTGGATAACCAGGTCCTGAGCCATGGAACGCTCTAAAGGTGGTAACCAGTACCTTGAAGCGCACCCAGAAGACCACCGGGAGCCAGTGCAGCTCGCAAAGGAGAGGTGTTACGTGGGAGCGCCATGTCACTCCCATAACCACCCACGCGGCCGCATTCTGAACTAGTTGGAGCCTCCAGATACTCCTCAAGGGGAGCCCCATGTAGAGAGCATTACAGTAGTCCAGGTGGGAAGTGACAAGGGCGTGAGTGACTGTGCATAAGGAGTCCCAATCCAGAAAGGGATGCAACTGGTGAATCAGGCGAACCTGATAGAAAGTCCCCCTGGCCACAGCCGTCAGATGTTCTTCTAAGGACAGCTGTGTATGCAGGAGGATGCCCAAGTTGCGAGCCCTCTCTGTGGGAGCCAGCGACTCGCCCCCAATAGCCAGCGATGGCGCCAGGTGGTTATATCGGGAGGCCAGAAACCACAGCCACTCGGTCTTGGATGGGTTGAGCCTGAGTCTGTTTCTCCCCATCCAGATCCACACGGCCTCCAGGCACTGGGACATCACTTCAAGGGCATCATTGGGGTGGCCTGGGGTGGAGATGTACAGCTGAGTATCATCAGCGTACTGATGGTACTTCACCCCGAAACCACGGATGATCTCACCCAGCGGCTTCATATAAATGTTGAACAGAAGGGGCGAGAGGACCGATCCTTGTGGCACCCCACACACAAGGTGCCTCAGGGTCGACCTCTGTCCCCCTGCCAACACAGACTGCAACTGGTCAGAGAGAAAGGAGGAGAACCACCGCAGAACAGTGCCCTCCACCCCCAGCTCTTCCAGCCGGCACAGTATGATACATGGTCGATGGTATCAAAAGCCGCTGAGAGGTCTAATAGGACCAGGACAGAGGAACAACCCCTATCCCAAGCCCTCCAGAGATCAACCAACGCGACCAATGCCGTTTCCGTGCTGTACCCAGGCCTGAAACCCGACTGGAACGGATCTAGATAAACCGTAGAAGCCAAAAGGTTTTAAATGAGTAATTGTAATGGATTTCTAGATACAAATGGATGTAATTTGATGATGGCTTCACATGAATCCATGATAAAAGTAGTTAGCTGCCTCAGAATTCTGAGTTTATCCAGGTTTATTTTAATTTATGTATTTTTTTTAATTTTCAAAAAATCTTTATTAAAATTTAAAATATTTTAATATTTAAAATATTAAAATACAAATACATATACATCTGTAACAAAAATACATCCATATTGTTGTACAATTCAACATCGTTCTAACAGTACAGAAATCTTAACTCTAAATTGTGTTTACATATATTTGATCAAGAAGGAATATCTCTGAATGTATGAATGGAGTTAAGATTTGTGTAATTTACCGTATTTTCCGGTGTATAAGATGACTGGGCGTATAAGACGACCCCCGACTTTTCCTGTTAAAATATAGGGTTTAGGCTATACTCACTGTATAAGACTACCCCTCTTCCAACGCACACCAAATAAAAATTAAAAAACATCAACTGGCTCACCCACAATGTAAAAGCAGCTGTGCTAGACCCAAAATGGCCCCTGCAACAAGCAGGAACCTCACACAGCCACAAAAAGCCCAAAAAAACTTTCACACTTTACACACACAAAATTCCACATACAGCTTTGTGAGATTTTGTGTGTTTGTGTAGTTAGAGTGAAACACTACAGAAACACACTAAATCTCAGAAAGCTGCACAAATATTATTTTATTTTTATTTTTATATGAAAACTAAATTTAAAACTTCCTAAACTTTAAATGGCTAGGTCTAAAAAAGAACAACTAAAAAAAACCCCAATTAACTATTTTTTTTAAAGCTCCCAAAGGGGGGAAAAACTTACCCAATAGAACAGGGGTCTCCAACCTTGGCAACTTTAAGACTTGTAGACTTCAACTCCCAGAATTCCTCAGCCAGCTTTGTTTTGCTGGCTGAGGAATTCTGGGAGTTGAAGTCCACAACTCCTGCCTGCTTGATTGCAGGCAGGGAGTGGCTTGCTGCTGGAATGGATTCAGGCAAGCGAAGCAAGGCAAGCGTTGCGATTAGCAGCTAAGGTAAGCAAGCTGGAGGGGGAAAATTTTTTTCCTCAGCTTGGCTCTGCCGATCCCAGCTGAGTTGCCTGATTAGCAGGCAACTCAGCTGGGATCGTCAGAGCTTGGATCGATGGCTCTGGCGATCCCAGCTGCGTTGCCTGATTGGCAGGCAACTCAGTGAGATCGGCAGAGCTTGCAGAGCCACGTAAAAGGAAAAAAGTTTTTTTTCTTTTACATGGCTCTGGCATCCCAGCTGAGTTGCCTGATTAGCAGGCAAAGCTGGGATCGTCAGGGCTTGGATCGCCAGAGCCATTTAAGGCTCGTCAGAGTCTTTTGGGCTGGTCTGCCTGGTTACAGGAGAACAACACCCGGCGTATAAGACGACCCCTGACTTTTGAGAAGATTTTCATGTGTTAAAAAGTCGTCTTATACGCCGGAAAATACGGTATGTAATTTAATATAATCACCAGTAAAGGCATTTTGGATGAGAGAGATAATATGGGACAGCTGATTTATTCTACCTGTTGCTTTCCAGAAGTATTGGGATTCAATTCTAATTGCTAACTGCTAACTGCTACAACTAAAAAGAACATTGTGATGGGCAATGTTTGTCTAGAATATTTGAAACCATTTTAAGCCATTCATTAACCCTGACCTGCACTGGACCTTTGTAAAAATATCATGGGGGTGGGGGGACAGATACATTGCCTTGAGTGCCTTGGAGAAAAGTCCAGGACCAAGTTATCTTTATTTCGCAACCATTATGAGTAAATGTATTGATGTGGAATGAAAGGACCAAGCAACATTCCTGGGTCAGCCAGAGACAGTTTTATTGCGCAAGGTTCAGAGCCAGGAATTGTACCTGAAGCTTTGAACAACCCAAGAGCTGTGATATCTCTGTTTTTATACATTTCTAAGACAAAGGATTCAGTGAGATCATACATTTTCCATATATGGTTACATACATCCGATTTTCCCTATATGGTTACATACATTTGATAATATGTTCATCTAATTACTTAAACCATTAATTTTAGTTTATAAAATTATCTTAGCCACACAACTTTTTTTTAAGTGCTCAGAGTTGCTAATGGGAGATTTACTACTGTCCTTGGGTAATAAGAGGTAATAAGTGACTCTTTGTTTCCTGTGGCTGTTTTGTGTATCTGATAGTGGGGGCCATTCAGATGTCTTCCATCTGGCTGTCCTTCTGTGACGGCTAGGCTTCATCAGAAGATTTATTACCCTTAATGAGGTTTAACTGTTTGTTAATGTAATTTCCAAGCAAGCACTTTCCTCTCTTATAATAATGTGAATAGAGAGGGTCTCTCAGAATTCATGTATCTAAGCACGTCTTCCCCTTATAATAATGTGAATAGAGAGGATCCTTTAGAGCTCATATATCTGACTCTGTATTATTCCTTTCTTTTATCCACATTAGTATCATCTGTTGGAGAAGTACCTTTCAATGATCCCCTCATCTGCAAGAAACAAATCTCCCTCCCTAATTCAGAAATCTGCTTTGTTTCTGACGGAGATGCATTAGAAATTACTTAAAACGATATCCACCCCTCCCTCCCCCGCAAACACACCCACTAATAAAAGGGGAAAGAAGCGAAACACACACAAATAAACATGCGGAGGGGATTTGTCATTCTTTGGGGATGTTTAATAGGCTAACATACTGAAAGGCAATGAGTTCACTTCGGGAAAGTGCCTCTTCCTGCATTTCCACCCTCCACATGATGAGACCGGTTTATTGCACTGCAGAAACGCCGGAAAGGCACAGGTCCACACAACCACACAGTCACACTAGAGCGATGGCTCTGGTTCGCTTACCTGGTGCAGCTCTCTCCACAAAGCTCCAGTGGAGGGAAGGAAAAAAAAAAAGCAAATTCGTCCTCAGCGTGAGCTCTTCAGAAAGAAGCTCCCCGGGAATAGCTGTGAAGGCTTGCGCTGCTCCGATTGGCTAAAGCACAAGATGTCGTCACGATCAGGCGTGTGCTCGCTCGACAACACATGGAGGCTGTGGTTAAGGAATGCAGGCTTTCAAGCCAAACCTGTCAAGGCTTTTATTGACATACATACACGTAAAAATGAATAGCCTAAGCTACCTGGGCAAAAAAAAAAAAAAAAAAAAAAAAGATTTTCTTTTTTTAAAAAAAATATTGTTATTAAAGTTTTTTTAAAAAACAAACAAAAACAGATATTTACATCTTCTTTTCAACATCTTCGCATCAGTGATCCATATTTATACATTTTCTCTTTCTTATCTTAATGTATCTTTTATAGATATATTTCTAGTATATCATATATATATACCCTTATAATATATTCTATCATTCTAGTTATTATATTTACATTTGACATAAACATGTACCTAATTTCCTTTCCACAATTTTTATATCTTCCCATTTATTTCTATATTTCTCCAAAACATTTTGATTTTCTATACAAAGAAACCGAGGCTCCATTATTGTTTTTCCTTGTTAGAGAAAAGTTATTTCTCATTTGCTGTGACTATTAATGGCTTTTGGCATGGACAAGTAAATAAGCCAATCAGAAAGCAGCTAATAGTTTGAATCTCCCAGGCTTTTATATTCCCTCCCCTAACTGTCACAGTTGACAGTATAAAAGGAGATTCTTGACAGAAAACTGTGCTCTTCTGTTGGTTCTGTTGGTTTAGCTCTTCTGATGGTTTACAAGATTCTTTCTTCTGAGGAAGAATAGCCAGAACTAACATTGCTTAGAGCGATTACACACACACACACTGTTCTTTTTTCATAGCTGACATATATATAGTCATATATAGCTTCTCCCTTGCTCATTTCAACGTCTTGCCCTCAGCATTGCTGAGACGGACGATTTAAGAGGCTCCTGATAAGTGAGCAGTTATGCCCCTGTGATAGAGCTGAGGCTGAAACTGTGGAGCATGTTCTTTTATACTGCCCTATGTATAACGCAGGCAGGACTAAATTACTCTCTGTCCTAGAAACAGATCTCTCTGGATCCAATGCTAGTAATTTGACCTTATATTGTTTAGGAGATGGTTCTTCACACATTACTTTTCAGGTTTCTAAATTTGTTTAAAGAGCTGTAATTATTAGAGGAGAACGCTGTAATTCCTTTCAGGCAAGGCTTCTGATAGCCAACTGTTTATGATGTTACTTTCCCAACCTTCTTTTGCAACTATATTTGTATTTTGGTCTGTGACTGCAAATAAAAGTTATTATTATAGCTGACAGGATATTTAAGCAAAGGAATGAAATATGATTTAGTATTTGAATAGACATTGTTTTATTTCTATATAAATGAAAAGAGTTTGTTGTGAACTACTCCTGAGGCTCATTTGTTAAAGTAGATCTTAATAGAGATAAAGGTTTGCAGTACATCGATTTATTTCCTCCACGACATTCCTATTCCCAATCTGGGCTGCAAAACTGGCACTAAGACACACAATTTTCTCGAGTTTTGCAGCCCAGATGCAGCCAATCAGTTATGGAATCTTACTGGCCAAGTTCTAACCTTTTTCCTACTTGAGGTGTGTTTTATATTGATTGTTTTCTGGTATGATTTGATTGCTTATTTGTACCCTATGACCATCATTAAGTGTTGTACCTTATGATTCTTGACGAATGTATCTTGTCTTTTTATGTACACTGAGAGCTTATGCACCAAAGGCAAATTCCTTGTGTGTCCAATCACACTTGGCCAATAAAGAATTGTATTATAGTATTGTATTGTATTGTATTGTATTGTATTCAACTAACTAGTTCTTCTTGTATCATATTTTCAAGGATAGTTTTATGATGTGCAAAAGCTCATCACCTACCTGTTTTACCATCTGTTTTGATTGACTGTAGTTAATGGAAAACTTCTCAGAACGTAAACCTGAAACGTTCTACCATTTTAAAAGCAAGCAGATATTCATTTAATTGAAGACTGCTTCTTCCCCAACATTCATTAACGAACTTCTCAATAATTTTTTCAATCATAAGGAGTACAGCGCTTCAGTATAGTCCAAAGCTTCTGTAAGGTCCCAGAAGTTTCCTCGAACCATTGAGATGCCAAAGAGAGTGAGATTCAAGACGAGGCTTACAAAAAGAAGCAGATTTTATTTATGGTTAAAACAAAATACTGGGTGAAACTATAGTATATCCAGAACATACAGATACAATCAGTGGTGGGTTGCTCCCGGTTCGGTCCGGTTCTTGCAAACCGGTAGTAATGGCAGCGGAAGGCTCCGCCCAGATGTCATCATAAATGATCTGTGCATGCTCAGAAGCCTCGCGCGTGCGCTCCCACTACGAACCGGTAGCAGAGATAAGTAGAACCCACCCCTGGATACAGTGCATGTAAGGAATAGCGACACTTTGGGAAAGGTATGACGTCCTTTTATACCTTCAGAGGCATTAGTTTAACACCCAATTCTGGCCCCTTGGCCCATGCCTTCCTTTGCTAGTGCAGCAAGGAACAGGGGGGTTGAGTGCTTAGCAACAGAGGGGTTAGGTCAGGGGTGAAATCCTACTGGTTTGGACTGGTTTGGGCAAACTGGTAGTGTTGATTGGCATTGGTTTGCTGAACCGGTAGCAATCATCCCTGGTGGCCCCGGCCCCGGCCCCGCCCGCCCCCCTACTCAACAGGAGCGCTGGGCAGGGATGGAAGGCGGCCTTTTCTGCAGCATCCCCCTCCCCTCTTTCAATCGCCCTCCAAGGGGGGCTCTGTCTTTGCAGAAATGGGGCTGGCGGTTTGTACAGAGGATTGGCGGGGGGGATGCGCCACCCTCCGGGATGGAGAGCAGGGCAAGAAAAGGCTCCAAGGTTCACTTGGGCAGTCAAGCCATATGGCGGAGGGAAACTCAAAGTGTTGAGGGCTTCAGAAGGGCAGAATGTGCTTCAGAATGTGCAGCTCCTGGCTCTAACAGTGAATGGCCATGCCCACTGGTCACATGGCCACCAAACCACGCCCACAGAACCGGTAGCGAAAATTTTTAGATTTTACCACTGGTCTGGGTACTTAGCAACCCTGCTTCTTGAGATATCCACTAGGCACAGAATTGTACAGAAAAACAAGTTAACAGAAGTTAGATCACTGGTAGGAGTAAATGGCTGAGACAATTCCAATTCTTAGCAAAGCAATTCTTACAGAAGCAAAACAGCAAATATTATTATGTCCCAGTAATTCTACCTATTCTATTATTATGTCTCTACATTCCTCCCTTTTTTTATTTTGAACAGGATATGTCCTGTCAATGGTGAACTAGAGGTGTATGGGGACAGTCTGGAGGACCATGATATTTGCCAGTTTATTGGGAGGGGTAGAAGACACTATGCGTTGGATTAAAGGGATGAAACAGAGGAGGAGGAGGATGCCTCCAAAGGTTAACAACACTAGAAATCCAATCCTTTTCCAATAAGAGAAGGGACTGCCAAACCAGGTGAAGTCAACTGCCCCAGTCCAAGTGTGTACTGGGATGTGTGCGACCTTCTCCACTTTGCAATTTTGCCCTGTAGAGCTTTTCCCTGATCAGAAATTTTGTAAACAAAATTTGTGAGATTAAATTTTCCACACACAACTACTAGTACTTTTGCTAACAAATAGTGTAAAGCAAACATATTCTGAGATATCGCTGTTTTAAACAGTGTGCTGTTTAGCTATTAAATTTAAGCACTGCCTATAACCTTATAATTCTAAACAGCATATAAATGGGAGTTCTACAACCATACATACCATCTTCTGCCCAGGTGGCTGGTCCATATACCTGAATTATTCTTTCTGGAGAAATCATCCTTCCATTCTCAACATTCTCTTAGATTTTTATTTATTTATTTATTTATATGCCGCCCTTCTCCGAAGACTCAGGGCGGCTTACAATGTGCTCAGCAATAGCCTTCATCCTTTTGTATATTTATACAAAGTCAGCTAATTGCCCCCACAACTGGGTCCTCAATTTACCTACCTTAGAAAGGATGGAAGGCTGAGTCAACCTTGAGCCTTGGCGAGATTCGAACCCTGCAGTAATTGCAGGCAGCTGGTCTTAATAACCAGCTTAATAACAGGGTGCCTTAAACCACTGTACTACCAAGGCTTTTGGTATTTGTGGCCTACTTTCTCATAAACAGGTACACCCAGTCTTTTACCTTGTTGTATGGGCAGTAGAAAAAACTAGGTTTCACATTGCCTAATATACATGCTTCATACCATCGCCTAGGCAATTGCACATAGGCAAACATTCCACATATCCAATATAAGCCAGATGGAGTCTAGTTATATTTTCAAATGGGTTACTAGGTTGTGTCAGGTTAATTCCAGACTGAAAGTAAGTGAAGAAAACACCCTTGCTTGTAATATGTTTCACACTTATCGTTGCATGATATTCTCCTGTTAGCCCTATGCATAAGAAAATTATTCCCAAGTATTGAACCATTGCATCAATACATTTTATATTGTCAGGGATTATGATAACACTATCTCCTAGGACTACTGTGTTCAAGTCAGGTTGATCTGATTCAATGCCCCAATCCTCCGGTGTAGGATATATATAGGAATAGAGTTTCTTTCTTTTTTTTTTTATTGAAAAGTTTTTTTTATTTTTTTATTTTTATTCATTTTATATTTTAAATTACTAACATTACAAACAACATATACAATATTTCATTTCAATATTTTATTGAAAAAGTTTTTCAAATACAAATTTTTCCCCCTTTCCCCCCCCCGCTCCCTAACCCCCCTCCCCCTCCCCTCCCCCCATGGCTTCTACAAGATGAAATCCAAATTAATATCACATTATATAATACTTTACCACCCTTTTACACCACCCCCTATGTGCTAAACATTTCTTTCTAACATTATTATTATGTCCCCCGTATACTATACATTTCAAAACTGCATTTGGCTATAAAACTATGTAATAAATCCTAATTTGGCATTTATTCTACTCATAATCTACCCATTTCCTCCACCTCCATACATATATCTCTTAATTCAAATCTTTTAAGTATATTAATATCTAAACATAACATCCCTTTTCCTAAACTAAGCAATCAATAACGTTACCTATCACCTTGTACCATATCAATTTTATTTCACCCACTTTCCTACAGGTCTACCATACAT